AAATAACAACAGATAGATACACTCCCCCCTCACAATAGCAAACAATCCGCCACTTTCAGGCTTTTATTCTCTTAATTCACTAATGTAAAAGATAAAAACAGCATAAACTGGGCTTTAGCGAGCACCTCATTGTGAATAAAAGTTCCTCGCGATAGTTATTAGGGTGATAATGTGAATAAAAGTTCCTCGCGATAGTTATTAGGGTGATAACTGAGTGCTGATAACCAAATCATAGTAAGAAAGGACACAAATCTTTTTTTTTTGTTCAGAATACATCACAGTTGGGTTATTAAATGTTCAACTGCAGTATTGTCTCTCTTAAAGTTTACTGTGATTATATTAAGTATCTATTTACATGCTTTTATTGGATCGATAGATTGAAAAATGATCACGTTATTTTTTACTTGGCGCAGCTATAAATATGTCAACTCTCTCCGGAATGTTCCCACCACCGTAGCACAGATCCCTGAGTACGACGGTTGAGCTGGGCCCCATTCCAAAGTGCTACATATGGCATTTCTTTGTCTACACTAAAAACATATTATATAAAGCGCCTAATGCGAAAAGTAGCATTTTCTAATACCGAATGGACGACACATACAAACACATACACACACATACCAACATACAACCCTCCAAATATGTTACATTACGCTATCACGGCCAACACCCAACGATGCCTACCGGGAGTGGATTCCCGTTGAAAACTTTGACGACGGCTTGGATACTGGCAGATGCTTTTTATACGGTCTATCTACAACAACGTATAAATATGCATCTGATCTCAGGACGAGACGGACGAGTCAGTTTACCGCAAGGTAAACTTACGAATTTGCAAATATACTATGTCTTAATACTATTTAGACTTATATACAGATTAAGGTAGTCATTGACGAAACAATGAGTGTCTTACATGTAGTATAGACTATAGTTTGTCTATTTCAACACAGTTGCAATTTTACACGAATACACCTCCATTTACCAATTTCCCTTCCGTTCTCTTTCTTGAAACGAAGAAGTGATTCCTACGCCTTAGCAATACACCTTTAGCATTCACGCGAATACACCTCCATTTACCAATTCCCCCTCCGTTTCTGTATGTGTATCAATATAATTACAGAATTATGCGATATTGATAATGCTTGGGCATGTTGGTGGACTTTGCTGCACAGTGCGACGAGAACTGGTTTCTCGTAGCAAAACGGCTCTACGAAGCCACTAACATAAAGAGAACGGCAAAACAGGTAAAAATCAAATTTTCAGAATATTATATATTCTTATTGCACATATATATATGTATATTATATATTGTTGTAATTACTAAAATAATTGTAATTTTTATTCAACAATAGATCGCTTTTGAGCAGCCAGAGCTTTTGACTCCTAATAATATTTGGATAGTTGGAATTACTCGAGGCCCATCAACCCAAGTTCATTCCTTAATATGTATGGAATCACACAAATGGGGATGCGGCCGTACGAGGATATCAAATTTATCGATTATTCAAATATTTACGAAGTCAAAGAACTCGGGTCCGGTGGTTACGCAACGGTGCAGAAGGCACGTTACGTGAACACTTGCCGTTTGCCACATGGTCTTGCATGACTTGTGATTAAATGCGCATTCTTGCTTTCCATAAACTAATTATCATGTTCGAAAATAAATTGAATGCTATGACAAATATTTTAATTTCAAATTTGACAAATATTTTTATAAATAAACAGTCTGTGTTATCCTTTTCATTAATTTCAAGTCATTACTGGATACATTGTTTACACCGTTATCTGTTTGCACTGATTTCTTGTCTGAAAGCGCCCTAAATAATTAGCAGGCAATAACGTCTTTATTCGAATAATAGGAAACTTTACAAGTGTGAGTGGGTGCTTTGTTAATCGCGCTCGTTATATTCTCAAATTTTCGAATGGATATCAAAACCAGAGTTAATATATCTGCTAATACATACGATTCGTTGGTTTACAAACAGTATACAATGTTCTAAAACTAATTGGCGAGCTAACATTTCTTATCTTGTTGGCGCGTGTTGAGTTATTTTCCTTACAATTGAAAATAACACCTTCCGATTACATTGTCATATCGCACCAATAAGCGACATCCAATAGCTAATAAAATGCACATGGTGACGATTGTCTCCTTAACGCGGGATTTCTCGATTAACCGGAAACGTTTGCGGACATAAGTTGAGGAAGAAGATGATGATCAATTTGTGTAAAACGACAAGGTTGATGGAATTTGACCTGTTTTTTTTTTTATTTTTTTTTATTTTTTCGCCCCTTGAGCGCGTGTTTGGACTTTGGGGTTCGTCGCGTGTGTTTTATTCGTGTGCCGGAAAAAAAACAAAAAAAAAACTGTTTTTTTTGGCACAGCAGAAAAAAAAAGAAACATCAACGATTTTTTAGAAGAGGGGGGAAATTTGAGAGAAACCAAGGATGCTATAACGCGGGTATATAAAATTTTACACAAAACGCCGGAAAAAAAAGAAAAAACAATTTGTTTTTTTGGCGGAATTTATGGTCGAACGAAAGTGAACAAACGAAATAAAAAACGAAATAAAAAACACAAAAAAACTAAAAAACGAACAAACTTGTGTAGAAGTTCAACAACATTATGGTCAAGTCCTGCCTTGGATTGTTTGCCGTGAGAATTCTTCATTTTCACTTCCATTATACTCAGCAACCACACGCGCAACTGTTGCCTCCCCAATACCGAGAACCGAAGCAACCTCCTTGCGTAGTGATAAGTCTTGACGTTGCGTCTGGCGTTGTCGGATACTTAAAAAGTACTGATGGACGAACGATCATCTTTTTTTCGTTACTAGTTAAGAAACTTCGATCTCGTTCCAAGTCATCCATGAGAAGAGAAATGAACAAGGGTTTGTTAAGAAATCTCAAGTTTGAAACATTCCTTACCTTTTGTATAATTTGTACGCTCACATGACTTGATTGGCGAGTTTTGTATTATAAGAGAAATTCAGGTGATGATTTTCGTGTATCAACCTTTTTGCACCGAACCATACCATACTATTAACACCTATAAAAACATCATCCCTGTAATCGCACAGAAAAATTCGAATATACTAACAAACCGTTTTCAGACGTTTCTGTGACATTATTTTACCAAAGATCATATATCTGGGTGTGATAGTGATTATAGATGTGCCTAAATAGGGGTAAATTTATTATACAATCTGTTGGTTCCAACAAAAATGTGACTAAATGGGGGTCGTGAACATGAATTTGCTTACCACCTACTGAAATATGATGAGCATACTCTCTGGATTTTGGGCAGATGGATAAGATAATCAGCAACCCGACACGTCGTACATGCTTCTCTTAAATAACATTAGGAATACGAGCTAATCCAAAAGAACGATAAGCGTGTAACGTCAAAGATGTCATGTGCGTGCAAAGTAACAAAATATTGGGGAAGTATATAAACGGGTGCGAGTGCACTTTCTTCATCTTATCTTGCTTCTAAGATCATAAACTACAACCAAACAATGGACCCCAAGAAGGCACGTATGGGACTTATTATAATTGATAGTTCAGTGTTAATGATTCGATTAACAATACTAAAGATTCGTTTGACCATCAATTTGAACAGACGGACCCCGCTTTATGGTCATCATAAAACTATCAGGCCCGGAGAAGAGATGCCGAACATGGATGCCACATTTGCAGTTTTGATACGCGAGGAAGGGGCTCCTGGCTTATGTATATAATACCCGTCCATACTTGCTGATCGATTAATTGACCCA